ATATATATATATATATATATATATATATATAAAATTAATTATTCTTATTCTTATTATAATATGAACGTATATATATACTTAAAATTTAGAAATTCAAATAATTTGATAATAATTTTATAAGCAATATAATGTAAAAAACATATAATATGTATACACAAATAAACACATTACAAACATAAGAATAGATTAACTATTTTATATATAAATATAAATATTTTCATTCAAAATATTATAATAGAATGTTTTTAGTCTCCAAAGAGATGTTTTCCCAATTCCATCATACGATGATTTCTGCATACAGTTAAAGCTCCACGTTTCTTCAAAACAGAAGCAACATTTTCATCTGCTTTAACCAAATGACATAAAAGATCTTCAAAAGCAAATTTTACATTTGGCTGAAGACTTCCTATCTTTATTTTCTTGAGGATTTCAATAATTTCTTCTACCCAACCTGACTCAAGAGTAAATTGTGAAAGCCAAGGTATGACTTGTAAGACTCCAGCCATTGTTTGCATTCCAAGAAACCATAATTCCATAAGTTCCAACCATTTTTCTTTATATGACATGGCAACAACAAGTTCAGTTGGATCATTACTTTCATCAATTATATATGCATCCCATAAAAATCTTATAGTAGCTTGAATATATCGACAAATAGAAAAATCATTTTTCTTTATACGTATTGCTTGTTGTTTTAATAATAACAATCCCAAAACTGCAAGATGACCATGCAATACTAGATTTTCAGGAATTTGTTTAAGTTCTGGAAGATTATTGAAAATAAATTTCAATAAAGAAATAAATGTTGGTGATTCTTCCACTAATTTTGCTTCTAATACAGTAATGTTCATTAAAACATTGCACACTGAAACCATGGCTGTTCTTGAATCTTTTATTTCTTCTGATAAATGAAGTTCTAAATCTTCTTTTTCTGGTTCTTTTAAAATTTTTAATCTTTCTGATTTTGGTATTGGTGGTTTTTTTTGATGAACAATTGTCCAATGATAAGATAAACATTCGAACAAGACTTCTTCTTGTTTGTGTTGAATTAAAATTTTTCTAGCATCTTCTTCTACAGCTAAATAACATAATGCTGGTAATAGAAGTCTCAATAAATCAATCTCACTTAAAGGATCATGAATAACTGATTCTCCAGATGATGTTGCTTCATCACTTTTAAGTTTTGCATTTGCTTTAGCCTTTTCTGTTAATTTTCTATTTCTATATGCATAAAATGTATCATTAGCTATAGTTAAAACATAAGGTAAAACTACATAAACTTGAGAACGCATAGCTGTTGTTTCCTGGGCAAGCCATGCTGCTAATACTCTTACTACAGCACAAATAAATATTCTTTCTTTAATATCTGTTATTTCTTTCATTTTGGATATTGTTGTGAGTAAACCTATAATTGCAGCAAATGCTCCCTTTAAAACAGTATATAATGATTGTTTTTCTTTCTGATCCAAGTCCAACTGATCATTGGTAATATATGCAAGAGAAATTTCAATAATAATAAAACAAGATGTTATTAAATCTGCATTTGTCATTATACTTTTCAATTGTTTTCCTTCTATTTGCATTCTAACTTCTATAGATGTTAGTTGAATTAATAATAACAAAAATACTTTTGGTTTTTCTTTATCTAATAAAGTCCACTCTGCTCCTAATAAATCTAGCATTACAGAAGCAAGTTTTAATGCTGGGTCACGTTGATTTTTGCCTATTTTTGATCCAAGAATATCAGATAAAGCTTTATGTATACTAGAAGGCCAAGATTCTTCTTTAGCAGTTTTACTAATTATGTCCTTTGTACAAGACATTAATAAAGCTTGTAAAATTGTACATAATTCAAATTTTCTTTCTGTATGATCTGTTTCAAAATCTAATGCAATCTTATTTATAATAGCATGAAAAGGTGCAGTATCTGTTGCATCCCATGCTTCTGTATTAAATCTTTGAACTAAAGTGACTAAAATATTCAAAGCCTTATCTGTTTGAAAGCTTTTTTCTGAATAAATATCACACATTTTTGTAATAGCTTTATGTTCAATTAAAACTTGTTGCCCAGGAGAATATTGTGCAATATTTTGCAAACATGTATATGCTTCACTAACAATAATTAACATATTATCATCTGCATCTTCATCAGCTTTTGATACAATTTCAAGTAATGCAGGTACATGAACAATCATGTCAGGGTGAGAAGCTAATTCTGATTCGCCACAAAATGCAGAAAGTATAGATAGTGCTACAGATTTATATACTTGTGGAGGACAATCTACAGGAACTACTTGTGTAGATAACAATTTTGTTAAAAATTTAGTTCCAATAGCTTCAAATAACATTTTTTTTTCTGTTACTGTACAATCTTTACTATCCACTAATTTTGTAATCATAAATAAAGCAGCAAATTTTTCCGAATCAGATTCAACAGATTTTAAAATAGTCACATGCTTTTTCACATTCTTTGAAATACTCATGGTTATAATTTATTTTATTACAATTTAAAATGTAATTATAATTTAAATAATTTTATTTTATTAATATTTCTATAATTTTTTTTTATATGATGACAATTTCCCAAATAAAATACAAAATATTAATATTTACCCAATAATATTTAACAAAGATTTAATGAAACTTGCATCTTTCACATGTCACAGCTAAAAGCCAACTGGCAGTACTCCCAAACTTCCAAATCAAACCCCTTAAGACTAGCCTTGCCCTTTGACACACTCACTTAAGCAGACAGAAATAAAGTTGTACTACCACAAATGCTAATTCCACAAACATGTATAATTATTATTGAAATATGAATTGTTATTAGTATAAGATTAACAATTTTCTTTAGTTTTTTTTAGTTTATCAATAATATCAATTGCTTATTTATTAAAAATAATATTAAAAATTATTAAAAATAATTTTATTTAATATAATTTCATTGGAAAAATATTTTAAATATATATATAATCTTAGCATAACCTTTTTCGCGTATACAATGTATGAATATAATTACGTTATACAACTAATTGATATCTTAAGAACGTCAAAATCTTTAGTAACGTGCTTACACGCTTTATCTACGTTATGTTGAGCGTCTGGACAGTAGGATCGGTCAAAAATAACCGTCCGAGAGAAAGCACTATATCAGGGAGTCGGCTCGTATTACACAGAAGTTTCTATTTTCGTCGATCTTCGTATCCAAACGAAATTGAGAGATTAAATATAAATTTAATTACTATAAGATATTTTTTGGAACAATACAAAATCTATTATAAAAGAAGAAATATATAAAATAATTAATAAATTAACAAAATGAGTGACCTTTACATTTTTTTAATTTCGAATAAAAAATTGAACTACTTTTCGCGCACTCTCCAGGAATGACATATATATATGTATATATATATACACATACACACATTTCTAGCATATTAACCAATACTGACCGTTTATATATGTACACGCATACAGTTTTTGACACCAATAAAATTTCAAATATTTTAGCATACCTTTCGACATGTTTGATTGTCGCCTTTTCTGGTTTCGATGAGAGTATTGTCCAGATCAAAAAACACAGCGTTTATAGTTATGTTTGATGAACAAAAATGCTTCTTATGTAAAGTCGCCATTTTTATTGTATATAATAAATATGTTGTCAATCCAACGATGTTTCAACAAAGAATCGCGCATGAAAACATGTAGTGTTCATATAACAGTCCCCTTTTAAGAACACTTTAGGGATAAATATACAATTATCTTAATGGTCAGACGTCAGAACAGATATAATCTGTCTCGTCTCGACCTAATGCCTTTCGTTCCTGACCTTTTTCTCTTCCTTGATTTCATTTCGAATGAAGAGACATCTTTAATAGAAACTTATAATGTTGATTGTCGATAAATACGTAATCTAGTTTTTAGATTAAATTATATAGATTTATAGTAAAACAAAGTATTATCAACAGAGTTAATTAAAAATTAAATATTATTCGTATATTTTTTTATATAGTTTATATATTTATTTTGAATATAATAATAATATTATTAATGTATTGTCAAATAATATTAATTATCAAATATAATATTAATAATAGTAAATATATTAGAAATAAATTTATAAATATAATAAATTATTAAATTATTATTTATTATATTAATTTATTTATTTAATATAATTATTTATGAATTTAGTATTAAAAATATATTATTTTTTGGAATAATAAATAATATTAAATAATGCAAATTATATAAATTAAAACTACTTTGACATCAGTAATGGCGTCATAATATTTTGGCGCAAAGTAAATACTTGCTTTGAATTCTTATTTTTGCATTATTAATTTTTATTATTTAAAGTGTGTATTATATTATAAAATGTCAGCTATGGCATCTACAGCTAGTCTTCAAGGAGATGAAGAATTTGAAGAATATAATCCACAAGCAAAATTAATAAAAACTCTAGAAGTAATTTGTTTTTGTAACCTATATATATCACTTCTTTTTTTCATTATAATTTTTAAATATTTATATGAAAGCATTATGATTAACTATATTAAATTATAGAAATTATTTAATATTTTTTTTTAGGGAAATGGCATAACAGCAGGAGATGTAAAAAAATTAGAAGAAGCTGGTTATTATACTGTGGAAGCTGTAGCATATGCACCTAAAAAATGTTTAATTGCTATTAAAGGAATTAGTGAAGCTAAAGCAGATAAAATTTTACAAGAAGCATCAAAATTAGTTGTGATGGGATTTAAAAGTGCGACTGAAATTCATCAAACTCGATCAAATATAGTTTTTGTAACTACTGGTTCCAGCGAATTAGATAGATTATTAGGAGGTGGTATAGAAACAGGTTCTATTACAGAAATATTTGGAGAATTTAGATCAGGAAAGACTCAGTTATGTCATACACTTGCAGTCAATTGTCAATTACCTATAGATATGGGAGGTGCAGAAGGAAAATGTCTTTATATAGATACAGAAGGAACTTTTAGACCTGAAAGATTAATTGCTGTTGCTGAAAGATATAAAATTGCAGGAGATTCTGTATTAGATAATGTAGCATGTGCTAGAGCTTATAATACAGATCATCAAACTCAATTATTAATTCAAGCTAGTGCTATGATGACAGAATCTAGATATGCATTATTAATAGTAGATAGTGCAACTGGTTTATATAGA